TCCTTAACTATGTAAACATGGTTACACAGCACAATCACATTGCTTTGTGTTGAGTTTTAGGAGCTTAATAAAAAGGCATTACTCTGAAAATGGCCAGGCCCAAGGACTGGACTGAAAATGAGTTAAAAAGCATCAAACATCCAAGGAAGATTTTGGAAAACCTTTAGAGAGCCAGTAGAACTATTGTCCAAGACTGCTTTAAAAGAATACAAGAAAGTCCGGTTCAAGTCTAAGGGCTGTCTCAAAACCTTTGCACAGTACTGTACACAGTCCAAAATAAGGCTGAATGATAAGTTTCAAGTTTATCAGCATGGGAACCACCAATCCATGGGCACCAACAAAGGCCTGTCAACTAGGACAGCCCTACAAATTCCAGTGCCTTAAGAAACTCAGGGTAGATTTCATCCACCTCAGGGCCCCTGAGAAGTTGCTTAACCACCTTAGTGACCTTGGCATGGTGATGGGCGAGTCATCCTCCTTATCCTCCACAGAGGACTTGTCCATGGGATTGAGGAAGTCCTCGAAAAATTCCTCCTGGCAATAGCCCCCCCACCCACACTGGACTGAACAGCAAGTGGATCCCTTCTCAGATGAAATAATGTAAGAGGCTTTATATCCTGAGTCTGAAGATACAGACACAAAGTTAAAATTTGGGGTACAGGTCAAACACAATGACTACAGATCACTACTGTTCACCCATGTGTTTAAATAAAAGGAAGAGGGTTTCTGTTATGTTTCAGTTAGTACATCGAAACATGCAGCTTCATCTGATTCTGCCCAGTTTGCCAGTTTAATAGGTGAGACCAATTTCTCAGAGTCAGTTTAAAATAGGAATTTTTTAACCTTAGATACATATTTCTAAGTGCATCACTGATATCATAATGGATACTTGACTTGCTCGCTTTATTTCAGAGACAGAGACGTTAAAAATGAACACGTTTCCATGTCTTACTTTATGGACCAACAACAAACATTTCTGTATTCAGTAATCTATGCAAATTATTAGTTTATAAACAGAACCAAACTGGACAAAGAGAAGAGCTGAGGAGGACCTGCTGCAACATCTCCATGACAGCTGATATTCATACATGACTCACACGACACGATTACAATCATACGCACAGTTTGTCAGAACACCACAAAAAGGACAGGGCAAGCTGTACTTTACTAGACAGTATAGTTTTAACAATCAACACTTTAACTTTTATAGACTGATGCATTGTGTGGTTTTAATTCCATTTTTCCATCGTATTCTGCCCATCATCGGGGGGCTGGAGCGAAGCAGAGTACGCGCTAGCCAGCTCACCAGTCTGTTGCAGGACTAACACAGAGAGACAGACCATTCACATAATTTAGACTCACTAGTGAACCTAACCCTACTAACTGCCTTTGTCCCACAGTCCAAAGACATGCAGTAGCCAGAGAGAGCCCACGCAGACACTAAAAGCACATGCAAACTTTACAGAGAAAGGCCCCGACCAGACGGTGGAGTCGAATTCAGGAGGTAGCTGTTAGCAGTGCGCCGCCATGGGTATAAAAGTAAAATTTAAACAATTAAAACAGCCATGACTAAATTGACTCTAGCTAAGCCTGTCGGGTAAATAACAAGATTAAATGCGAAACAGTTAAACTGAAATAGAACTCCAGTTTTAGACCTACAGTTTTACAGCTGAGCCACAGCATCTCCACTGCCTACATGAGCTGTGGCCTGAGCTGCCGGTCATTTCACAACATCCTGCTCAGTCTTGACAATCACTCTGTTCAGTCCACAGCACCAACTCTTTAAGAATCCTAATTTAGTGACAGAGTCCAAGATGAGTTCTTTACAGCAGCATCAGTCAAGAATTTTTGACTGCCATTTCACTGTGAACTTTAATGATGAAAGAAAGACGAACTCTACAAACTGCAGCTTCTCCTTTATATAGTAACAAAAATCTGCATTGTATATTGTCTTTGATAACTTGCTGGCCACATATTCATTGTTAATGCAATCAGGCATGCCCTTAACCTTCAAATCGCCTACAAATAACATGGTAGCTGCTAGCTGGTGCTGACAAACAGGTTGGGAGTGGGAGGGATACTTCCTGTTTCTCATGAAAATGTGAAAAAATGTGAACCCTTGGGAGGAAGAGAAGACCAGACATATGGACACATTTCACGTGCTTTTACCGGGGAAAGTTACACCACACAGTTTACAAGCTTTTACAGTCATAAGATTATCGCAGACTAACCGTAAAGTCGATTCAGCTGACTAAAATATAGTCGAGTAAAACTAAAATAATGCCTAAATTATGACAAAAACTAAATGATCTTTAGTCAAAAGCTGAGGCTGAAACTAAATCAGAATGTGCTGTCCACTGGCACCTATTGTCTCAATGATTACTCCACATCTGTTTAGCTGTTATCTGTATCCATTTGGGGCAAGCACAAGGCTCTCTTTAAGGTGTGTGTGTCATTTTTCCAACTACTACTACTGCTGCAATGAAGTATCAGGGTTTTTAATACAAGGTAAATGAGCAGGCAGATTCACAATAAATTCAAATGCTAAATTTATAAACTGGAAAAGATGCTTCAGTCTTAATCAAATTATTTTCTGCACCCTTTTCCAAATTCTAACAGTTGTGCCACATCGTTTGCTGCACTGCTCCTACAGAGCCAGTTTTACTTACTAAGGAGGGTGAATACATCAGAAAATAGCAATGCATGCATACTAAAAGGTTCTTAAATCTCAGTTTAGTTTTTAAGAAGATTTACTGAGACTACACCATCATGCTGTGGAAAATGAAAAATGAAACCCAAATGAAAAGTTCATTTTCTTTCTTTATCCTTGTTTAGTCAGAACTCCAGATTTTCATTTTGACTTGGCAGGGCGCTGTAAACAGCCAGAGGCAGTCAGTGAGAGTGGTGTGACTGATTTAAGGGGGATCTAAGCCTGAGAGAATCCTTAAATTAGAGAAACAACAGGACTTTGGTGTAAAACGTTTGTGCCCGGTGAAAAGTCTCAAGAACATGGGACGTGATTATTTTTAAAGCTTTTTAAAATCTAAGTAAGAACATGGTTTGAAGATAAACTTCATAAATTGTGTTTCTCAGGCCTGAAGTGGTTGTTTTGGTTGTCAGTTACTATCTGGACCAACGGATATGGAAGAGTTCCTTACTTTGTTCCTCATTAGTTTACAACTCATAGACGTTTTTCACGTGGTGAGTCTGAAAGCACAACACTGTCGTGCCTCTTGATTTTGGTAGCAAAAAAAAAAAAAGTGGGGCTGAAAGATAAAAGCTGAAACAAAAAAACAAACACTGGGATTTTCTGATACATTTTATTAATGCTAGTTTTAATGTTTACATGTTGTCCCATTTACAGACTGGTCTGTTACAGGGCTTCTGTGGAACCTTCTGTAGAATTTGTATATTTTGCATCCGGCTCTTAGCATCATTCTATCCGTCTGTCTATGTTTCTCCTTATCTGGGGCCAAGTCACAAATAAGGAGAAAGGCCCAGACCCCATTCTCCCAAACTACCTCCTGAAATGTATTTGGAGGAACAAACTCCTCCTTGTGGGGCAGCAGCTTGTTGGTTGCCTCCTGACGAAGCCAACAAAAGCACTTCTGAGATTCTCAGAGTACAGATGAGATTCTGAGGGCACCAGTTTGCCACCTAAATACGATATGCCTCAAAATTCTGGCCCTGAAAACTATGAACAGAATTTATTAATAAGGACAGCCCTGGCATAGAACAACACCCACCAAGAATGAGTCCGACTTCTTGCTGAGCAAAGCAGAGCAAACTCCCATGCAGCCTCAAATATTCCTTATATTCCTGACGGGGCCAGGTACAGCACCGTGGAAAACGAGCGGCTAGCCATCCAGATGTCAGACTCCCTTAGCTATTACCTCCTGGGCCTCCCCTTCACCCTCTGTTCGGACCACGCTCTGCTGCAGTGGCTCCATTGCATGAAGGATGCCAACGCCCGGATCACACCGTGGTATTTGGCTTTACAGCCTTTTAAGTTCCGAGTGGTCCATGGGCTGGGGGTGCAGATGGTTGTGGATGACTTCCTCTCTCCTCCTCTCTGACACCTTTATTACTATATGCAGTATTGTCTGCTTTTTATACTTATTGGGCTACTTGCTTATTATAGGCTTAAATATATATAGGCTGTACAGTACATAAGATTAAAATTTACATTTTTTATGTCACTGAAATGTTTTATTATTTGAGTTAAAGCCAAAGAGAAGGTTGCAGATAATGTTTACATGAAACGTGTGTATACTTACTGCATCTGGTTTATTTAAGCAGGCATTATATGTTGAAATCTTCAGACTAATGTAGATTATGCATTTCAATTTTTTTTTTTTTTTTGTAATTTTACCAATTTTGTTAATTACCACAGTCATACCTTTTAACTTAATACTTATAGATGTGGTATGATTATAAAAACATTCATGCCATTTTCCCCATTCAACGTCTATAATTACACAAAACATCCATTAACTAATGGAAAAACCCAATTACAGAAACTTATTTTACTGTCATTTTTGTGTCATTTTACACCCAGTGTATCAGTTTTATGTATGTACAGCATAAAACTACAAGTTAACAGTTTTATCTTTTAAATAAAAATAGCTGTAAAATTATGTTAATCTTGCAACCATAATTTTTAGTCCTTTTTGTATAAAAATAAATACATTTTCCATAAAAATGTGAAAATCATGTTTATTCACAGGTACCGTTTTTTCGCAATTTTTTAATTACTTTTTATAATTTTATTTTACTTAGAAAAATTCTGTACATTTATATGAGATATTCTCTTAAATTACAGTTGTTGTTTTTACAGAGTAGATTTGGGGCCCAATAACATCTTTTAAACCAGCAGATGTATCACAGCTCAGTAATCCTCAGTAATGCCGTCCTTCAGGCTGTGAGTCTTCTTATTAACACAGATTTGACAGATTTGTTGTAACAATGCGGAAATTACGGCTGGATGAAATGGTTTTCTGCTGCTTGGTTAACTCATGTTCATGTGCACGTAAGCGTACACACGCGGGACTGTAATGACCAATCAGCAGATATTGTAAACCCTCAGTTTGCTGAGCTGATGAGTGGGGTTGGTAGAGCGAGACTCCACGCAGAGAGACGCTGCACACGCGGGGAACAGCACTCGGTTTCCGTTACAGTCACTGTCCTTCTGAACGCTCCGCACACAGCGGTAAGTGCCACCGGGTCTTTTTACAACAGGTTGAGACAACACGGAAAGCTGAGGTGTTCGTGTCTATTTGAACACTTTGAGTTTGGTGTTTTTTCCACAGCAGGCTGAGCGTGGACCCTTTACAAGCTGGCAGAAGATGCGTGATTTAATTTGGGCTTTAGCCGCGAGCAGCAGGCACGCGCGCGCTCCGTTTGGCTGTTTGGTAACAGTGACGATAAATTCTGACCGTAAACATCAGCAGCTTTTATTTCGTCTGTTTGAATAAACACCAACAAAACGCGTTTGTTTCATATATTCCTGTGGACTCTGTGTCCATGCTAGACCACAGATTTCATATCTAATGTAAAAAACCTTTAAAAAAATAATCTTGAATTGTTAGACTAATAGGATTAAACAGGTGTGGGTCACAGACCAGCGCAGTGGTAAACCCGACAGGTACAGTGAAATAAAAGAAGATGCTTCTGACATTGTTCTTTACGGTTCTGGAAGTTTGTTTAAGAATTGGTTTTCTGCTTCTTCATCTATAAGATGTTATTATCTATGTTAATGTGTGCTGAACTTTATGTTTAGTGACTGTGAACTTAGAAGTATAATATGTATATTATATATTATACCATATATAATCTCTGAAAGACTCTACAACGTTAATGATGTAGCGTTAGTCGTTGTTTCGGTCATTGTGGCTTCTCAGGGCAGAAACTCCTACACAGACTGTAGCAGAGTCTCTATCACTACTTCCTCTGATAAAGTTGGGATCTAATTACAGTAGTTGGATTATCCCGCTCACTGAATACAATATTATTCCTTTGCTAATTTGCTGTGGATGTTTGTGTTACTAACCTCTCAGATGCATCCATCAGAGCACGAATGAGTGTGGACGTTATATCAAAAGCACTTGGAAAAAGAAAGTGCTTGTTTAATTGGGTGAATGAGGCAAGTTGTATAGATTAGAAAAGCACTATATAAGATCCAGTCCATCAGCGTTTGGACAGAAGACAATGCTAAATGTGCGTGTTTTCTCAGACTGAACATGTTGCCAGGTTTGGGTCACACAGTGGTATTTCATGATCGAGTAGATCAAAAATCCTCTTGATCAGCCCTTTTCGGTATAGAGCGCGTGTTTCTATGCTCCCTTTTCAAGCTGATTCACTGACTCAGCGTCTTCAGTGTGAATGTGTTTGTTGTACAAGACCTGGAGAACAGTTGGCTCCAGAGAACTCTGGAACAGCAGCTTCTAACACACTGCAGAGAGCATTCAGAACAGTTTTACTCTGACAGGTTTTCAGCTGCATCTGTCAGGACGAGAGCTGGTAAACTGTTGTTTGAAGACAACATCAGCCTTCTTCTTGGCCTGCTTGACAGCTCCTCCAATTACAGCTCTCTGGGTGTAGTATGCTGCGTTTGCAAATACTGCTGCTCATCAAAGCCAGATTAGAGAGAATAAAAAAGGATGCTGCTCTCTGTCCTTTACGGATGTGAAAATAGGATTTGAATCAGGTACAGCTCCTCAGTGAAATTCTGTGTTGTACTGTCATTTTGCACAACCTCCTGAATATAACAGCAGAATACCACAACCGTTTTGTAACAAGAAAAGCTTGTCCTCTTGACCTCTGGTTTGGCATCTTGGGGAGATGTGAGCAAGCTGTTCAGCCTACCTCTGTCATATCATGTGGTAATAATGTTAGCAACAGTTCACCGGGAAGAGCCTTGAATAAACCTTCAACGATAAAAAAAACACAGGTTTCACTTCAGCTCTTTCTATGTTATAACCTTGCTCTTCTCTGCAGCTGGCACAAGCAAGAGTGGCCCACGGACTGGTTGTACCTCATACTTTCTACATTGCCTTGCAACATAGCTATCTACACCATAAATCCCACGTTGGTACCGGGAGAGACTTGAAATTTATGATTTTCAGGGTTTTTATCGTTAACTCTGTTTCCCTGGGTCTTTTCCCATGTTGTAGTTGTGCGTCTTATTTTGAAAGAAATATTTATGCGTTACCATAGCGACCAGAGGGCATTAAGGGGCAGAGAGGAGGATGTTACTGTCAATGTTGTTGGTGCATTTCAGGAGGACGCTGCTAATAAAGTTACACAATTACACAGTGAATTTATTATTATATTTACAAAATACCACAGTTTTTGTCTCAGTCGTATCATTTTATTTTGTTGTGTTTATCCGCCACACCTTAAAGGCTGGTCCGTGAAAATATTGTCTGACATTAAACCGATCTGTGGCACAAAAAAGGATGGAGACCGCTGATTTATCTGATAACCGTAACTATAGCCCTAACTATATGCTTTAGCAAAAAGGAACGTTTGAAGCCTGATCTTGAAAGTAGAGATAGTTACTCTATAAATTCGTACTGTATGTTTCTGTTGTGCTCTGTGCGTTTATTATATTTTCTCCCCCATCCCTTTCCCCCCCCCTGCCTGTCAGCTCAGACTTAGTCATGCAACACATATAATGTTATAACTGAAATAACACAAATGGAAATGAATAAATAAACAGCTAAAAGAAACACACGAAGAAGAGGAGCCTGCAAAGAATTTCTAGACTCATCCTGGAGAAGCAAACAGTCATAATTCTGATTGCAAAAGCTTCCAGACAGGACAGAGAAGATCCTGTAATGTACTGCAGGTGTTACTGCAGGTCTTTTGTTGTACTAGTAATATATGCTGCCAGTTATCATCTGTAGAAAGAATTAAGAAAAAATTGTTATTGGGGAGTAACAAAAAAATTCCCGTTGGTGCTTGTCTAATTAAAAACCAAAGTGTTTATTTGAAGTCTGCTTTTAGGAGGATGTTGGCTGCTTGTTTCTGCAGTATGTGAGTAATAGTGGGCAGGAAGGCTCCACTAGCTTCTCCTCTTGTAATCTGAATGCAATTTCTTTATTATTTGTCTCCTTTTATAGCACTCACTTTCTGCACTGGCATTTGTGTATTTAAGCCCTGTGACATGATGTTTCTCCAGCACTAACCTGTTTCAAAGCTCCTCTGGATGAAAGAGGAAGCACATTCCAGTGTAACTGTTACTTTGATCATCACACACGGTTAAGCTGCTATTCACTAACAGTTACTTTAATCACTTAGATGCAGGCTTCTTCATCATCTCTTGATTTGGAATATCCAGATTGAGATGAGATTATGTGTGGTAAGCTGTGAATTTGTAACTTTTCTCTTTTAGTCAAGAAGCAATGAAGATATTAGAAGAAGAATAAAGTCATAGATGGTTGTTGGTTAGTTTGACTTCGATGTTTGCACATGCGCCGTACCCCTCGGTGACTGGTACACACTCCTACATACACTAGAATAGTTAGACAATGGGCAAATCCATTTGAGCGGTAAAACCTGAGAGCTCCAGGTTTCTTCACTGTGTAATAATGGCTGATGTCCAGTCAGAATCAATGAGTCTGTGTGTGTTCTCCACCAGGCTCAATTCAGGCTTATTCATATAGTAGCAACCTAATAGGACAAATGGAGGCTGCATTAGGCAGAGGACGTTAGAGAGAGGGCAACAGTGACCAGGACATTTAAAAGTTAATGACTTAATGCTGAATTTGTTCAGTTCAGCGGTGTCGTCTCAAAGCATTTTCAGTGTGCAGGAAAGGAAAACATTTTTACCTGACACGACTCTGTTCAACTGTATCAACACTGAGTTATTACAATAGCTGATAACTAGTCTTGCTTGTCAGGGCTGCACTCTAGTGCTGAACACAAGAACTGATGTGGTTACATTATCATCCAAATTAAGCTCTGCAAGGCCAACGCACAACACCAGTGATTCATGGATTAGTCCGATGGCGATCAGTCTGATGGGGCCTGATAAATGATGAAAGCACGTTTCCTTTCAGTGGACTATTTGCTGTGTAAGCGTTCCTTCTAGATCCTTCAACGTGATCGTCATGGTCCTGAGTCTGAGGACTCGGTGTTTTGTGTTTCTTTATATTCTTCTTGTTTATTCTGCCTGTGTTCCCTCTGTCTGTCCATGGTGTCACTGTGTCTCCTCATGAGTCTGCCTGCCAAGTTCAGTGTCCGTTCTGGTTCTCTGTGTCTGTTAGTTTCCTGTTTTATTCTGAAAGTTCATGTCTCATGTCAATGTGTTCAGTTTTACCTTTCTCCTGTCTTGTTAGCTTAATTTCTCCCAGCTGTGTCTCCCTCCTGTTGCCCATTTCCGAATTACTCCCCTGTGTATTTAAGCCCTGTGTTTTCCTGTGCTCCCTGTTGCGTCGTACCCTCAACTTGCTGTGTGTTCATGATTTCCAGTCCTCCTGCACCTCAGTTTAGAGTTTTGTTTGCTTTTGTGAGTTTTATTTTGTGTTGAAGTTTTGTTCCAGCAATAAAGCTGCATTTTCAGTTGAAACCTCGTTTCCTAAGAGTCCTGCATTTTGGGTCCACCACTCCTGCCTGCCACACAGCCAACCATGACAATCAGTGCACATGGCTTTATCAAATCAGTTTTTAAGTGTACAAAATACTACAGCCCTATCAAAAGTGAAGTAAAATATACTATTTATATTAAAACATATGAGTGTGCATATTCAGTATGTTTTTCAGCATCAGGCCAACAGTTGCAGATTGCTTACATAGATCCACATCAGTGTGTTTGCTGTGCATACGAGCAGGTCTGTGTCTGCTGCAGAGTCTTTTCATGCTCCGGGGAAAGAATGAACTTATTATGTAACCAAAAACTTGGTCGTTTGAACAGGAGTTTGTCTTTTTGGACCATTCACTTTGTTTTCAAATATTTAGATCAGGTATCAAAACGACTCAGATTTGGGGGAAAAACATGGGATTAAAATATTTCACTAAGAATTCCTTCCACCTCGTGACATCCTCAGGTGAAGTCAGCAGCACTCCACACACACTATACACAGTGTGGGTAGAGCACCACCTTCCCCTATTAAGTTGCTTGACACTTTACCAGAATCCCTTCGAGGCGGTTTGAAAGGGGTTTTCCATGGCCTCTCCAAACTCCTCCCACACCCGAGTTTCTAATTCAGCCGCAGGCCAAGACACATTCTGCTTGGCCTGCCCGTACCTATTGGCTGCTTCCAAAATCCCACGGGCTAAGCCCAAGAGGACTCCTCCTTCAGCCTGATGGCTCCTTGTAACCACGGTGCCTGCCGTGGTGGTAACCCCACCACCAACAAACCACCTTTCTTTACCTGGAGAGGGCACTTTACCCTTAACTGACCAAGAACCTCGGCGGCTTCGCACTCTGCTGCTGATCACCCCAGTGCAAGCTCGACGTTATTGTAGTTTTGGTAGCTTCATCAGACATGATGAGTTGATTTTGGCTGTACAAATAATGAACAGAGTTGGTGAAATAGGAAAACCTTGGTGAAGTCCCACACCTACCAACAATGATTTTGACCAAGCTCCTTTAACGGTTGTATCCCACATTCCCAAAGCAAACTGAATGCTGTAAAATTCAGTTAAATGGGCTGATTTTTGATTGATTCATTTCAATTTCAAATAGTTAAAGTGCTGTGCAAAGGTCTTGAGCCACCTCTCAGGTCAAATGTAAGGATAGGTTATAAGGCTTTTTGTCAATTTAAGCCAATAATTAGACCTGAGCATCCTGTTTACAGACAGAAGTTATTTTCAGATGAAGCACTAATTTCACACTTCTTAGTGTTGTCACTGCACAGATCACCTGCTGGAAGTGAAAGCTTGGAAAGAAAAACACAATATGTGACTAAAAACTGTGTTTTTGCCATAACTAAGGCTTATGGGTGTACAGGCATTGAGCAGAGTACCGTGTGACCTCAGCATTTTCCCTGCGTAGTGAATGAGCGTGCAGTGCATGCTGGAATAACAGGAACTCTGCTTTCACGCCTATGTTTGAAAATGTTAGCTGCAGACAGCGTTTGTTTCTGTTGTTTCTGCTCGTGTAACAAAATCCTGCACTCCCACATCGGGCTGTAAAGTGCCAAGAAGTTGATGAACTGCCCTCAGGATGAATGTTATTAAATGCAGAATTGACATTTGTTTGTATTTATTTATTTTACAGATCCTTTCCACTGTCAGTCAAAACTGGAAGGACTATGACAGATAGACCCATCTGCCAGTTTGGAGTGAGCCAGCTGGGAAGATAGAACATTTGTGACTTCTACATCTCCATCACAAAGATGAGGAATATTATCCTGGGTATTGTTTGTCTCTGTATTTACCTGACCCTTGATGATGCACTGGCTTTAAATGGACGGAGGACACACACAGCAGATGGAGAGGGAATAGAAGCAGCCATCAGAGGAGAGAAGTTGCTGAAACGAGTGAGGCGAGGCTGGATGTGGAACCAGTTTTTCCTGCAGGAGGAGTATACAGGCTCTGACTACCAGTATATTGGCAAGGTAAGATCTGTGCTTCCGTTAAGGTACACTCAGGATGACATATTCCCAAATTAAATGAAATTCTCTTAATTAGCAGAAAGCATAATGATTTACCACAGCTGATCACAGTGCAGTATCAGGGATACTGTACCAACTGTGTTGTTTCTTATTGTTGTTCTGGGTTCTCAATAATGACACTGTTACTTGAAGAGAAGGTATTTTATCGAACTGTAGTTCACATGTGTCACCTGGCCTCTGTCAGTGCGCCCCAGGGTGGCTGTGGCTACAGTGTAGCTGCCATCACCAGTGTGTGAACGTGTGGATGACTGAATGTAGTGTAAAGCGCTTTGGGGTCCATAGGGACAAAGTAAAGCGCTATACAAATACAGGCCATTTACATGTAAACAAACTTTCGCCATCACAGTCTGCTCAGAGGTAACTCCCTCTAGCTCTCTGGTCCCTCTAGATAGACTCGGCGATTTCTTCTCAGCATAGCTCCATCTTCTGTCTGAATGATGTATGATCGTGGTTGATCTTTCCTTAGAACAGTCGCTTTCTGTGCCCATCCGTTGGATTTGTCTTTGAATCTCACTTGATCCCCAGCATGCAGTTCAGGTAGGTTTTTTGTTCCTCTGTCATAATAGAACTTCTGCTTTGCTTTCTGTTGCTCCTTGAACTTCTTCACGCTGTTTCCCTCCTTTGTTTTAAGCAGATTATCCTGAATGGGCAGGTTTGATCTCAGGCGTCGTCCCATAAGAAGCTGTGCTGGTGACATACCACACTCCAGTGGCGTTGTGTTGTATACTAGCAGGCTTTTGTCTGTGAACACTTCACTTGACACACCGTGTCGTGCAAATACGGCTTTCATCGAAGTGATTACAGCCTCTGCTGTTGTCGTTTGCAGTCTACATACTTCTGGATACAAAGAGTAGCAGTCTGTGACCACAATATAGTCCTTTCCTCCAGACACAAAGAGGTCAGCCCCCACTTTCTGATATGGTCGGTCTGGCACTGGGTGTGGCTTTAGTGGCTCGGCAGGATTTCTTGCTTGATATGTCAGACATGTTGAACAGTTCGACACTTCATTTGTCACATCCTGAT